ACATACGCATATTACTCAACAGAGAATCAGTTCTAATTGCGACGTTAGTCAGGAATACTCCAGATGAATCAAGAGTAGAGTTTGAAGAGAATTTACGGGCAAAGCATTCAGCTTTTTCAGCAGAGGATGATAACACCTCAAATCGATTGAAGAGGGGAGGGGAATAGAGATCTTGCAATTATTTAATAACCTGTTACAGAGCCGCCAATAATCATGAGAGATAATTTTTTTAGACGCTATGCGGTGTCTCATTCTCTCAGCAAACAGGGACTTAACTCCTTCGTGGACCCGCTTATATTTATTACGAGCATTAACAAATAGGCACCTGTCATGACAAGAGCTGTCACGCAGGCATGGCCGGAAATAATGGTTTCTGTGCGCTATGACGGCCGGGCATGCTAGTGTTACCATTGCGGTTTCATTTTATATTTCTAAGAAGTGATGAAAGCGCCCATGCTGTCTTTGACTCAGGAAGAAACATCAGTGGTGTAATTTTCAATTGGGAGGTTGCTATCATCCCTAGGGAGTCACGAAGAAAATACCGGAATGAGTCTCAATCAGCAGAGTGCTCTGCGTTAACAATATGGATGAAAGCGGTCATAACGGATTTGACCCACGAAGAAACCACAGTGACGCAATTTTTAATTGGGCAGTTGAAGATAATAGACCAGGAATGAGTTTCAATCAGCATGCTGGTAAGGAGTTTCTGTTTAATGGATGTTTGGAAGGAGATATTAATAGCTACCACAGAGTGATCTGAGTTACCAAGAGGGCAGTATTGTGAAGCTCGGCAAGAGTGAAGAAAGGAGGTAAGAAATAGACCCAGAAGAGAAGCCTGTTACTGGGATTGGATAGGAAAACAAGTAGAGATGAAGAGAATGTGCCTTTTTCTATACTGTCAGCTACTGCGTCTAATATACTGTAGTTGTGGGAAGAAGGGGCCATCAAGGCAAAAGAGATAGCTGACAGAGTTTAGTAGAAAAAGACGGAAGAGTAGACAGCAGCCTAGAGAAAATTCTTGGAAGATTATCCCGGATGTAAACAACAAAGCCATGCATTTGAATGCTGAAATCTTTTCGGTAGAGAAGGTAGTCTGGAATCGAGTTTTGATTAGTAGCAATGGGAGAATTCAAGTTAGTTTCACGAAAGGCAAACACATCTGGCGACCTGTTCAGGGGGAGGGGGAGATTCTACGCTGCAGATATCACGAATGTTGGAGAAAAAAAGATTGCGGAGGGGTAGATGTTTTTTTAGCTGGTTTAGTTTTAATTCTTTTTGCTTTAATTTCCATGAGATATTTTGCAAAGAGGGGAAAAAGAAAACAATAATTATCACTATCTGTCTTCAGTGGCAACTACATCCGCGTCCTGGGTAAGACGATAAACTACATCCAATAACAATGCCTCTAATCAGGAGGTTTTGAGGAGCATGGAACCACCTTTTATTTGCTGGAGTGCTGAGGTCCACCCTGACCCGGGTGGTAGCACCTGTTAGGATCCCAGCTATGGGTAAGTAGTTGACTCCCAAACTGGGGTTAAAACACTATGAAAGTGTAAAAATAGGTTTTAATACCAGCAATATATTTTTGCAAAAGGTTTTAACCAACAATGAATTTTTGAAGGAAAAAATTATTACCAGCAATAAAAATCTTATCGGGATTAAATAACTTATTGTGGCTGATATGCCGTAAAACAAAATAAACTAAGCCAAGCAAAATGATTTTGTTACAAAGAATACATTTTTTATTCATATATATATATATATATATATATATATATATATATATATATATATATATATATAATCACAAACTCTGCGGAACTTCAAAACCTTACATTACGAAACCTTTCACTTTAACTGTGTTTCCTTGGTATTTTGAAGAAATAAATTTGATTTCTTTAATTCACAAAGGCTTGGAGATATTTTAAACTGAATTTAAAACAAAAAAATCTAAATTCAAAAAATTTGTGTGTTACTCAACATAAATTAATCTTTTTTTTCAGTTATTTTAAAATTTGAATTTGTAACCGTTTTCTCTTCATCCGGATACAAATCTCAATGCTGGATGTTCAAGCACCGGATGAAAGATGTTCAATCTCGTGATCATTTCTGATTATAAAAAGTATATTTCCGGGTAGAGCAAGTGTAGCCCGAATTAGAGAGGGTTTCAGACACACGGACGGAAGGACAGAATTTCCGGTTTATTTATTTAGATCGATTATTTATTTTGGTGATGAGAACAAAAATTAATGGTACATTTTTATTTTTTTCATTTCTACTTGTTGATTTTTAGCAAACTTTGATCTTCAAAATTTAAATTCAATGTCAATCGTTATCTTCTATCTCCTTGATTCCTCTTCTTTTATTGTTCTCGATCTTTAATTGTAGTTTTATCATATTTTCTTGCAGTCAGTAAGCCCCTTGCATATTTACAGTGTTGCTTGTGATGAAACGATTTAAAAACAATTTGTTATTGTCCCGGACTGACAGAATGTCGAAAAAATATAGGGTATGTTTATTTCTTCTTCATGTATGAATTCGATAGTGATTGCAATACTATTCGCTTAATGTTTGGTAAATATTGTGTGGGGAGATATTAATGAAACGTCATCTAAGTCGGTTTTTTATATAGTTAAAATAAACGATATTCCAGTAACCTGGATCGATTTTAAATGTAGATTACGTTTAAGCGTCTAATGATTTTTTCTTTGTCTTTCAGATTTAACAACTTAAGTCTTTGGCAATTTCAACCATTGAAAGATTAACAATCAAGCAACGTGTTAAAGTTTTAGCCTATTACGAAAATGGACGTTCAAACAGAATTTGAATGAGAAGTTCCCAGTTCTCGAAACAGCAAAGTCAATTGGCCACCACGATCTTGCGACTTAACGCCTTTAGATTTCTTCCTTTGGGGTCATCTCAAAAGTAAGGTCTATGCCAACAAGCCAACAACAATTCAACAGCTGAAGGATGAGATAAGGCGTATTGGTGAGATCGAGGAGCAACTATGTAGAAACGTCATCAAAAATGTTAACCATCGAGTGGAGGTCTGCCGCCTAAGCCTTGGCGGACATTTGGGAGATATTATTTTTCACACATAATTGCCATGACTTAAATAATATAATCCAATAGAGAAATAAATAATTTTTTACCAATAACACTGATTTATTTAATGCTGACTTTGATACGTCTTAATGAAACACATTTTATATTTAACTGAACCAGAGTTTGAACATTCTAAAAACAGACATACAAAATCACTGTTTATGTGTCAAATTTTGGAGAAAGAAGATTTTCTTTAGATGTAGTGATGAGGTTTCATAGGATATTTAAGCATTTTTGACAAGTACGTTTATGTATAAAGTTTTGACCTCTAGACTGTTTTACGTCCTTGAATTAGATTACTGAAGTGTTTAATATGCGATAGTTCATTGAACCAAGGAAAGAAAGTATTTTATAGTTTTACTGCATAATTTGTAGGGGCGTGTTAATGCTGGGACGTGATGGGTTTGATTGGCAAGTTGGTGGTTATACGTTTTGGATAAGCTGTAGTGTGATGGTGTTGGGGTGTTGGCAAGTACTTCGGTTCATGTCTGGTTTAATTTTACAGTCATCTTCTAACCGATTTGTTCAATTATTCTAACACACACACACACACACACACACACATACACACACACACATATATATATATGTGTGTGTGTGTATATATATATATATATATATATATATATATATATATATGGGTGTGTGTGTATGTGTGTGTGTGCGCGCGAAAAGTTGGAGTTTGGAACTGGGCAAAAAGAACAGAGGCAAGTAATATTTTAATATTTTGATGTTGAACCAGTGCTAGTGTTCATATCTATCTATCTATCTATCTATCTATCTATCTCAGTCTCTTCATATCTATCTATCTATCTATCTCGGGCTGTTCATATCTATCTATCTATCTATCTATCTATCTATCTATCTATCTATCTATCTATCTATCTATCTGTTGTGGTAGGATCCACCTAATTTACATAGTGGAGTACCGACCCTATAAATATGGTTGGTACCGGAAAGACGGGGGAGGAAGAAGAGATCCAATCCAGAGACTCTGCCCGACTGCAACTAAGTCGACCCATTCTACAGGAACGGTCTTCCCAAGAATATACCAAACTATCTGTAAATATTGTGTACACGTTCTTGTGTCAATACATTTTGTTTAAGTACATTTTGTGTTGTATTATTATTATTCCATGCTTTATTCAAGTTTCAACACTATCTATCTCAGCTTTTTCATATCTATATATGTATCTATCATATTCTGTTCATATCTATCTCATTCTGTTCATATCTATCTCATTCTGTTCATATCTATTAATCTATCCCAGTCTTTTCATATCTATCTATCTATCTATCTATCTATCTATCTATCTATCTATCTATTTCGTTCTCTTCATATCTATCTATCAATCTACGTCAATCTGTTCATTCCTGTCTATATATCTATCTATCTAGCTCAGCTTTTTCATATCTATGTATCTATCACATTCTGTTCATGTCTATCTCATTCTGTTCATATCTATTAATCTATCTCAGTCTTTTCATATCTATCTATCTCATTCTGTTCATATCAATCTATCGATCTACATCATTCTATCTATCTATCTATTTATACTTATAAAGCTCTTTAGGTATCAGTCTGGATTTCTCTTGATAATAACAGCCATCAGTTCAAACCTCATATTTATCCTTCACCGATTTTGTGGCGTTGAAACGATTGACTTGAAATCTCTTTCCATAATTCTGACACTCTACAAAGGGCAGCAGCCAAACAATCGATAGGCGATCGATTTTTGCGGCAATCTATTTCGCCTCTCTATCCAGCGACTCATCTGGCAAACGGAAACGCGGCCACCCCATCAAATCCGTTCTGTCTTTCATTCACGAATGTTGCCCGGGCCCCTCGTTCTTATTCTTCATTACGTCAGTCGTTTATCTCACGTGATCGGATGTCAGAGGGAAACTGAACGAATAAATTTGGGCGTCACGACTGAACGAAAACGAAAAAAAAGAAAATGATACAACCTGTGAAGGATGAATAAGGGAGGGAAAGCGAATACAGAAAGTGATACTGGCAGTATGTACGAAAGAGATTGAAAAGAGAGAAAGAAAGAAAAAAAGGAAGGCGGGGTGAGTGTAAAGAAAGAGAGAAAGGAATAAATGAAATAAAGGTTGAAGGAAAGAAAAATAGAAAGAAGGATGCAATGAAAGGAAGGAAGGAAGAAAGGAAGGAAAAGAGAAAAGAGCAAACAAGAAAAGAAGGAAGGGTGAGAGTAAAGAAAGAGTGGAGGAAAGAAGGAAGAAAAGAAAGAAAGAAAGAAAGGAAGGAAGAAAGAAAGAAAGAAAAAAGAAGGAAGGAAGGAAGGAAAACACAAACAAAGAAGAAAAGAGGGAAGGACTAAAGTAAGAAAAGAAGTGAGGAAAGAAGGAAGAAGAAAAGAAGGAAGAAAAGAAAGAAAAGAAGAAAGGAAGGAATGAAGAAAGAAAGAAAGAAAGAAAAGAAGGAAAGAAAAAAGAAAGGCGAACAGAGGGAAGGACGAATGTAAGGAAAATAGGGAGGAAAGAAAGAAGAAAAGAAGGAAGGAAGGAAGGAAGGAAAGAAGGAAGAAAAGAAAGGAAAAAAGAGGGAAGGACGAATGTAAGGAAAAAAGGGAGGAAAGAAGGAAGGAAAAGAAGGAAGAAAGAAAGAAAGAAAGAAAGAAAAAGGAAGGAAGGAAAGAAAGAAAGGACGGACGAAAGAAAGAAAGAAGAAAGAAAGAAGGAAGGAAAGAAGGAAGGAAAGAATGAAAAGAAGGAAGGAAGAAAAAAGAAAGAAGGAAAGAAGGAAGGAAGGAAAAAAGAAACAAGGAAGAAAAGAGGGAAAGACGAAAGAAAGGAAAGAAGGAAGGAAGAAAAAAAGAAAGAAGAAAAGAAAGAAAGGAAGGAAGGAAGGAAGAAACAAAGAAGGAAGGAAGGAAGGAAGGAAGGAAGGAAAAAGAATGGAGGAAAGAAGGAAGGAAAAGAAGAAAAGAAAGAAAGAAAAGAAGGAAGGAACAGAAGGATGGAAGGAAGGAAGGAAAAAAAGAAACAAAGAAGAAAAGTGGGAAGGACGAAAGAAAGAAAGAAGGAAGGAAAAAAAGAAGGAAAGAAGAGAAGAATGAAAGAAAAGGAAGAAAGGAAAAAGGAAGGAAGGGAGGAATGAAGAAAAGAAGAAAAGAAAGAAAGAAAAGAAGGAAGGAAGAAAAGAAAGAAAGAAGAAAAAGAAAGAAAGAAAAAGGAAGAAAGGAAGGAAGGAAAAAGGAAGGGAGGAATGACGGAAGAAACGAAGAAAAGAAAGAAAGAAAAGAAGGAAGGAAGAAAAGAAAGAAAGAAGTAAAGAAAGAAAGAAAAAAGGAAGAAAGGAAGAAAGGAAGAAAAAGGAAGGAAGAAAGGACGGAAGAAAAAGATGAAAAGAGTGAAGAATGAAAGTAAGGAAAGAAGGGAGGAAAGAAGGAAGGAAAGAAGGAAGGAAAGAATGTAAAGAAGGAAAGATGAAAAGAGAAGAAAGAAGAAAGGAAGGAAGGAAAACAGAAACAAAGAGGGAAGGACGAATGTAAGGAAAGAAGGGAGGAAAGAAGGAAGAAAAGAAGAAAAGAAAGAAAGAAAAGAAGGAAGGAAGGAAGAAAGGAAGGAAGGAAGGAAAACAGAAACAAAGAAGAAAAGAGGGAAGGACGAATGTAAGGAAAGAAGGGAGGAAAGAAGGAAGAAGGAAGAAAAGAAGTAAGGAAAGAAAGAAAAGAAGGAAGGAAGGATGGAATGAAGGAAAGAAGGAAGGAAGGAAAGAAGTAAGAAAAAAAAGAAGAAAAGAAGGAAGGATGGCTGCGCAGAAAAAATGAAGCAAGTAAAAACAATATCCAAAGAATAAAAGAAATTTTTTTTTTTTTTTTATAAAAAAGGAATTTCTGAAAAGAAAGACAAAAAGAAAATATTTCAGAATTCAAAATTACCGAAAGAAAGAAAAATCGTTTAAAAAAGAAAGGAAAGGTAATAGCAACTAAAAAGAGGAAAAATAAGAAAGAAAGAAAGAAAGAAAGAAAAAAAGAAAAAATAAGGAAAGAACAAGAATAAGAAAGATGGGAAAAAAAAGAAAAAAACGAAAGAAAAGAAAGCAAATAAAAAATAAGAATAGAAAGAAAGAAAAAAAGAAAAAAAAAAGAAAGAAAAAAGAACGGATAGGAACAAAAGTTTAAAACCCAAAAAAAGGTCAATAACAGATAAAAGAAGAAAAAAATAAGAAAGAAAAGAAGAAAGAAAGAAAGAAAAAAGATAGAAAGAAAGAAAGAATGAATGAAAGATAATAGGAAATAAAAAGAGGGGAAAAACAAGGTTGAGCATCAAATGTCAAAAACCCAAACTTCAAGCAACGGAAAACTTTTTCAATGATTTTTTCCCCATTGATGTGTCAGGCATCTTTATTTCTTGAGAAAAAATTCCAATTTCATTCTCCTAACTTTGCTTCAGAAAAATATTCATGTCGAAGAGACTTGAAATGTAGGTACAGCGTCTGATTAAGTGAAAGATGTCTTTGCGCAAAATCTCCTGCAATTTGCTTCTTTTTCACGTGCTGCCATGCAAAATTGACAAATAGAAAATGAAAAAAAAACAAAAACAGAACAGGTTTTGGTGTACAGATGAATTTTCTTTCTCAGCCTCACACAACATCGATTCGTTAAGAATTACTTCCTCGATCTTGATTTCTTGCTCGATTTAAACCTTCCGACTAGAAAAACACGAGAATGTTGATTACTAACAACGAGTTAGAAAGTTTCTGAGATTTACTCAAATCCACCTGACATAGAATACAAATATCTTTACTCACATCAGTGAGCTATTTATTAACCGTTAATAAATAGCTCATTCTAAAAAACATCTTTCGGTCTGCAGCACATTTATTTCGTCTTCCAGTTATGATTCTAAAGGAAAAAAATACAGCCTGATGATGGAGACAGAGGTCTTTGAAAGTACTAGCAGAATTAAAGAATACACCATATCCATTTTATACATAAGGATCTCATCATTCAGTGGATTATTAGGAGTATAATGCTTATAATTATGTCTACTAGCGAAGGGATTTCGCCAGTAATTGCATTAATATTGCTAAATGATTCAAGTTATGATTAACTCTTTGTAATATAAAATATATGCTGCCTATTTTATTACATATATATATAGGAGAGGGCTCGGAATAAACGCTCATATACTAAACAACACAAAAAAATTACAATGGGACCGTAAAAATATGCGGAAAATATAACACTACCAGAGACAAAATACCCTTGAAAATGGCGATAAAATTGGCTGAAAGCGCTTGGAGCGATGAAACATATGGAAAATGTTTTGTACTCCTACAAAATGGAAAAGCGTAAGGATACTGGAAAAAATTATAACATTTAATTAAATCTTCCTTGTCTGCCGTATTTAATGAAAGTTACCTAAAAGAACGTTTGCTGCCCAAATATATATATATATATATATATATATATATATATATATATATATATATATATATGGACATTTTATGTTTATACATTCTTTTTTATAGATACAAATATTTAAGTAAATGCTCTGTTTATAATAAACAGTATTAAACAACATTTACCAGCCTGAATGCCCGAGAAATTCTCATAGAAAATATGCGTCTTCCGATAGGAATCAAACCTGTATCATATAGCCTGACGTGTTTTTACCGATTACGCTATAGAGGGGCGTTTCGGTTAGCAAGGTCGATTTTACTGTTTTTAAACTACAATTCTCTATGATTTTCTCTCGTATATTCATATCTGCTCGATGCGTATCCATATGTAAACAAATGACGTCACACATTATGAAATAGACAAAGTTCGACAGTTATTTTAAGACATTTTTATGTTTATATAAAAAAAGAATGTATAAACATAAAATGTCTTAAAATAATTGTCGGACTTTGTCCATTTCATAATATATAAATATATATATATATATATATATATATATATATATATATCCAACGTCGGTAGTACAACTCGCAGTTTTACAATCTTCAGGTGCTGAATAGGTGCTAATATTATTATATTATTTTTATTATAGATTCGCGTTCTCGTGGTGTCGTTTTTTAAGACTTGTTTATTTAATTATTATTGCCTAAAATATTATAATTACTTATAATTTATATAATTCAAATTCAGGAAGAATTAAAAAAAAGAATTCTTTAAATTTTAAATTAAGTAAACAGGTTAGATGACAAGGGAGATAACTCTCTTGTTTGCATAAAATTCAAGGGGGATAAATCTCTTAAAATAAAATACTATAGTTATAACAATTAAAATAGCCAAGTACTCATAGTGTCAACATAATCATAGGTCGGGACTATATCTCTAATTGTTTGGAACCAAGCCGTATACTTACATCGATGAAATTAATAAATAATAGTTGGCCACTCGTATTCGAAGATACCCGTCTATTTCTTTGATGAGTTAAAGGAACGCAAGGTAATAAACGTTTCTTAAACAGTATTGTCATTTTGAGATTCAAAGTTGACTATTTTGAAATACTTATACAACGTGGTAAAAATGCTGTTTTGGGTTCATAAATACCAATTCGTAGCTTAGACCTCCATTCTTTTTATATTTTCAAAAGCAAATATATGTTTTTTTTTGTAATTTCTTCATTGCAGTTTTTTCACCATTTGTTGCCTTAAAATAATTTTAGCTTCATCTGTTCATTTCTTCATCAGGATTTCGTTTTCCTAAACTGCATAGATGAAATGAAAATATCTCTCTCTGTTTGCCTTTCTCTCTGTCTCTTTCTCTTTCTCTCTCTCTCTCTCTCTATATATATATATATATATATATAGAGAGAGAGAGAGAGGGAGGGAGAGATATTTCATTTTTCATAACTGAATGAAATAGAAAATATATATCTAATCCCCCTCTTTTCACTCTCACTCTATCAATCTCTGTCTGTCTGTCTGTCTGTCTGTCTCTCTCTCTCTCTCTCTCTCTCTATATATATATATATATATATAGAGAGAGAGGGGGGAAGAGAGAGACAGGCAGATAGACGCAGAGAGAGATTTATATATATAGATATTTTCTTTTCATCGCTGCAGTTAAAAAAAAATGAAATCTTGAAGAAATGAAAAATAAAACAATTTTTTGTGTTTATATATATATATATATATATATATATATATATATATATATATGTATGTATATATATATGTATGTGTGTGCCTCTCTGCTCTCTATATGCACACACACTCACGCACTCACACACACACACACACACACCACACACACATATATATATATATATGTGTGTGTGTACAGAGAGAGACAGATGAAGACATGACGATATATAGATAAATAGAAAAATCATCTATTTCCTGTAAGAATAGAATTCAACACGCATTAATACACAAAAACACACTGAAAATGAAATAGATAGATAGATAGATAGATAGATAGATAGATAGATAGATAGATAGATAGATAAAAGCATTATAGATCCTTATGCAATAAGACTGTCTCCCAAAACGATGCACAGTTTATTTATTTCTTTGCCGTGAATTCTTGACTATGTTTAACAAAATTATTTTACGCTAGAAATATTTATTAAAAACTCCGCAAATCCTTCAGGAGATTTTAGGCACATCTCTTAAGAATATAATCGGAACCTGCTTTAATCCTGAACCTTTCTTTTTAATACTGCCTCGCATTTCAGAATGAAAAATTGAATGTTATTCGTTTCTGAGAAAAATTCTGCCTCTATTTGGTAAATTAAAAGAAAATATTTTGGCATAAGCTTTTATAACAAAAGAGGAATTAATAAGAAAAAAATCGAATAACAAAAAAGAAATGAATGGAAATAAAAAATAAAACTATTTAGTTGTTATAAATATGTTTATTAGAGTAAGAAACAGAGGAATAAATAAAGCCTAATGAATGATACTAATTAATGTTTTTATATATGAAAATAAAAAATAGATATTAATAGGCTTTTGCTGGTGGTGTTTAAGACATATCAACGCTTCTTTGAATTGTTAAAGCCGAAATTTGTTTTTATTTTTATTAGACCACCACCATTATTATTATTATTTTTATTTTCTTTGATTTCTGGCGTTTACACATTTCTTTCCGGGTCCCGCCCATGGACCTTAGGTTAGAAATGGCGTCATGACACTTTCCACTGACAAAAAAAAAAAAATAAATTACATAGATAAAGCCCTTCGTAAGGTTGTACTTGTCAGAACAATTTTTTGTATCTCCTTGAGGCATGGACTTCCAGGAATCCCTTCAAATAATCTAATGCAATCTTTTCCAAGCAGTCCTAGGGCTCCAACTACAACAGGGATTGTTGATGTTCCCATATGCCACATTTTCGAGATTTCTATTTCAAGGTCCTTGTATTTTGACAACTTTTTGAATATCTTTAAAGATACATTGCAGTCAGCAGGGACTGCCATGTCAATAAGGAGGCACCGTTTTTGTTTGTGGTCTTTAATAACAATATCTGGCTGGTTTGCCTTGATTGTTCTGTCAGTGTGTATTGTGTAGTCCCATAGAATTGTAACAGGTCCTATCTCCGTAACCGGGTCTGAGTGGTGTTCATACCAGTTTCTTTCAGTTTCCTTCCCGTAGAAGTTGCAGATTTTCCAGTGCAGATATTGGCCCACTCTGTCATGTCGGGTTTTATATTCAGTGGGTGCCAACACCGTGCAACCTGATACAAGATGATCAATCGTTTCTGGATATTTATCACAGAATCTGCATTTTGGGCTGACACAATATTTTATATATGTCCTTGATAATTCTAGTTAGCAAGCATTGGTCATGCGCAGCAAGGATAAAACCTTCAGTTTCCGCTTTCAACCCTGCACTACGTAGCCACTGATGGGTACGGGTTTTGTCTACGTCAGCTTGTTTGATACGGGCAGAGTATTGGCCATGAAGCGGTTTATCTTGCCATCGCTTCTGTATCTGGTCGGTTGCATTCGTCTTTGCTGTCTTTTTTAGGTATTTTGCAGTTTCAGCCGGTGTATTGTGCTGTAGTTGCATCTCTACGCCCATTATTATTATTATTATTATTATTATTATTATTATTATTTCCTTTGATGTCTGGTGTGTACACATTTCTTTCCGGGTCCCGCCCAGAAACCTAATATATAGTTAGAAATGGCATCATGACATTTTCCACTGCCCATTTAAAACAAAAACACACAACATATTTTACATAGATGTTAACCTTTGTAAGGTGTAAGCTTTACTCGGGAGAACAATTTTTTGTATTTCTTTGGCATGGACCTCCAGGAATCCCTTCAATTAGTCTACTGGAATCTTTTCCAACCAGTCCGAGGGCTCCAACTACAACGGTGATTATTGAGGTTCCCATGTGTCACATTTTTTGGAAATTTCGATTTCAAAGTCCTTGTATTTTGACAGCTTTTTTTAATATCTTCAAAGATACATTGCAGTCAGCAGGGACTGCCATATCAATAAGGAGGCACTGTTTTTGTTTGCTTTCTCTAATAACAAAATGTCTGGGCGGTTGGCTTTGATTTTTCTGTTCTGTCTGTGTTTATCATTATTATTATTATTCATTTGGTTTTTGGTGTATACACATTTATTTACGGATCCTGCTCAGAGACCTCTCGTATTAAATCTACAACTTCAAATGACTATGCAAAACTTGTAGCGTGCGGGATTTGATTGGTTTTTACGGATTATAAATCTTTTGCAGGTTTATTTAAAGTCAGGAAAATCATTTTGCGATTGTAAGAATTTATTTATTTTTTACGAGAGAATAAAGAATTCCTAACCCAATGCTGGGGAGAGAAAAAGCGGTTTGGTTTGGTTTGGTTTGGTTGTCAGATATGGCATCATGACATTTTTCACTGAGCAGTTTAAAAAATTCACACATATTTTACATAGATAACGCTCTTCATAGGATGTGGGCAGCACTTGTGAGTACAAGTTTTTGTATTTCTTTAAGGCATGGGCTTCTTCCACTTCTTCTTCTTCTTCTTCTTCTTCTTGTTATTATTGTTATTATTATTAACAGTTAAAAGAAGAGATTTAAGAAAAGAAAAAGAAAAGTAAAAACAAAGTCATTGTTTGACAATGCTAAACAATATTTCAACGGAATATCTGTCCTAATTAAGTTATATTTAAACGACTTTTTTCAAATATAAAATATAGAAATCTACAAAAGATTTTAAGTCTTTGTACAAACGTTGCTTGTCTATCATATATTACTGACTGAATACAATAATTGTGACACAAGGCCGAAATAAGTTGGATATGGATCAAAGCTGGTCGTCACTACCTTATACCTTACTAATCAAGTCCAAGACCCGCTCATTCGTTACAATTTACTCATAAGTATTTCTCCGTCACCATTGACTCCTACATGCACCAAAATACGTCAAACACACAGAGCATCTACTAAAAAACATGAAATGTGAGTAACATGATGGGGATTGTTCTCATCTTGAAATTTTCTGTTAGTTGATTTGTTAGAGTAATTGATCAAACAGTTCAGTATAAATCTTATGGAAGTTTCATTTTATTAATTTCCCCTCGGGTGGAATGTTAGTAATTTACATATGTAATTATCTTCATCGATTTTACGGGATGAATATTCATAATAATTTTTATTATTAAATCGTGTTCATCTCTTAACTGTTGAAAAATATTGGATGAGTTCCAACAATCATTTTGTTTAATAATAATAGTAATAATAAAAATAATAAACAATTTAAACAATTTTTTTCAAGTATAAAATATAGAAATCTACAAAAAATGATAAATCTTTGTACAAATGTTGCTTGTCTACGATTTATTACTGAGTGATTACAGTAATTGTGGTACAAGGCCGACAAAAGGGGGAAGATGGGTCAAAGCTGGTCGACATTATTTTATACCTAACTAATCAGATTCACGACCCGTTCATTCATTACAATTTATTCATTCATCATAAGAATTTCTCCGTCACCTTTCGTTCCAACATACATCAAAATAACTCACACACACAGGACCCCTACCGAAAAGCACCCAATGACTTAAAATTTCAATATTTACATTTATATAAAATTAATTGTTTTTCCCGCAAGATGCTATTTTTTTCAACCAGAAATAAAAGCTGTTGGACAGTTATTTTTAAGCTTTCTTTTTTTTAATAATAATAGTAACAAACAATTTAAACAGTTTTTATTTTCAAGTATAAAATATAGAAATCTACAAAAGATTTTAAGTCTTTGTACAAACGTTGCTTGTCTATCATATATTACTGACTGAATAGAATAATTGTGACACAAGGCCGAAATAAGTTGGATATGGATCAAGGCTGGTCGACATTATCTTATACCTTACTAATCAAGTCCACGACCCGCTCATTCGTTACAATTTACTCATAAGATTCATAAGTATTTCTCCGTCACCATTCGCTCCTATATACAACAAAACACTAAACATACACACAGGGCACCTACTAAAAATAACCATGATGTAAAAATTTTAATATGTACAATTGTGTATAGAAAAATGTATATAAAAAATCTATCAATTTTATGAAATGATGGGTGGGGGTGATGACCCTAAAAACAAAATGATAGAGAAAGATGTTAGTAAGACGAGTCCACACCTCAAAAAGTAAGAGTTGCCGAGGTATTCTGTCTTCCGACAAAATCAAGAGGTTCTCTCCCTAAGAGAGAGGAAAGGATAAAAAAACTTAAAAAAAAACTGACACAGTCGAGATAAAAAGAGCAGGCCAAAACAACCTAGGGAGTTTGGGAATCTCGACTTAGATCAAACGAAAAAGCCGGGTACGGGCCGGGTACGGGCCGGGTACGGGCCGGGTACGAAGAATTAAGTTTAGAGACAATGGAAAAATATGATAGGTAACAGGTGGGAAGTTTATCTAAGGATATACAGGCAATCCATTAATACGAGAACCCAGACGGTTCCAGAATTGAGGGTAGGGCCACACAAAATGATGATCAGAAAATGCTTTTTTTTTTGAGATAATTAAGATTTTTGTTGTCAAGCTCCGAGCGAAGGGAAAAAGTGAAATATTTTTATTAGTTCACGTTAACGCCACTCAGTCTAAGAAATCCCTTTCTTAGATCCAATTAACGATAGAATGTTTGACAAATACCACGTGTAAAAGAAGCCGGGATCGTCATTTCGGTCACATACGAAAAGGACGATTTAAATTTTTGTTTCTTTAAGCAAGGTGTTTCTTCCCCCAGAACAAAGCCACGGATTGTCCACGCCCGATTAGAGACGTCACGAAGGAAGGAGGAAAGATACCGACTAGAGTTTCATTGGCCGAAGGCGGTCACATGATACATGAGGGAGGAGGAGAGACACCCGACCAGGACCCCATTGGCCGAGAGCGGTCACATGATGTGCGAGGGAGGAGGAAAGATGCCCGACCAGGACCCCATTGGTCGAGAGCGGTCACCTGACATACGAAGGACCAGGGGAAGCGGGTATACGCCC